TACGATCATCCCTATCATCCTCCACATCGAGTCTCGAATTGAAGGATCCGGATTGCCTCGATTCTCTTGGTGTCAAGGTGGAGGATCTCCTTCTCGACGATAGTCATGACAGGACTTTTCTGGAGGAGCTTTTGGACCGAGTCGAGAGTGGACATTGCCTCTTGGAGGTTCCCAATCCCTTTTAGATAGTTTCTCGACGCTAGGTGATCTTTTTCGATCCTGTCTATGAGATTGTTTCTTTTGATGGTGTTCCTGTGCAAATTGCTGAATCGCCTGATAGACCACTGGGTTTGTCTTCTCGAGCGCCTCCCAGAAAGTATCACCAGGGGCCTCAGAAAGTTTAGCGCGAGAAGTTTCACGATAGGAGATTTCTTTACGAGCTCTCTCTTCTCCTTCGTTTGGGACTGGGCGTTTACCACTTCTGATCTCGAGGAGATCCAAGGTCCTTCTCGCCTCTTTCTCTTCGACTAACTCCTCCATCTCTTGGTCCGTTGGGTCGGGCAGGCCTAACAGACAATATCGCTTGTATTCTTCGAGGATATATTTCTTTTTTCTTTGGTTGAGGGAATTGTCGTTTTTCAACTTCTTCAGCTCCGCTTCGATCTCGGCCAGTCGTTGTTTTTTATACGGGTCGGGGGCTTTATGTTGACCTTTTTGATAGGGGTGGTCTCTTTCTTTGTTCGTTGGTCGTTTCTTTTCCGCTTCTGCCTCCATTGGAAGTGTGCTAGGGTTTTGCCATCCTCGGGGCTCGTCTGCCTTCCACTTGATGCCACACTGGATTCAGGACTATCAACTACCACCATCTTTTCTTCCACCAACCCTGTTCTGGAAGCGTTGGGAGCGGATTGAAAGGTTTTGAAAAGCTTAAGAAAGCTTGGTGACACAAATCCTAGTTTTCGGGTCCCACTGGGCGTGCCACTTGACGATACCTAGAATTGTACCGCAGCTTTAGGGTGGATCTCGAGTTAGGGTTTCCTGCAAAACAGACCCGGGCATCTCCCGAGGGTAGACACTCCGAAACTTAAGTCAGAAAGTAGGGTTATGTGCGTATATTGTTTGATAGCCAAGATAGCGTACCTTAATTGTGGAACTTGCGTCCCTATTTATAGGTAGGGAAATATAATTGTTGTAACCGAATCCTACTAGGATTTAACTACATTGCCGCCCTATTGGAGTCGGTTGGGCCATTCAAATGGCTCTTGGGCCGGTCCAATACCGGGGTTGGATATTGATTCGTCAGTATTTCGGATCATTGCCCAATGATAGTGAAGTGGTCATATAATATGTGTCCAACAAAGAAGTGGTTTAGATTTTTTAATATGTGGACTAGAGATGAGGAATATAAGGAGACAGTTCAGAAGATATGGCAACAGGAGATAGAAGGAACTCATCAATATCAATTGGTTCAAAGGCAGAAGAGGTTAAAACCGGTACTTAAAAGAACTTAACAACAGGAAGTTTGCCAATATTGATCGGCAGGTTCTTGAAAGAAAAAGGAAGATGGAGGAGTTGCAACTTGCATTACAAAATCAACCTCAAATTGAGGAATTACAAGAACATGAAAGAGAAGCTGTACAAGGATATGTGGAGTGTAGCTCCAAAGCATATAGTTATTGGCCAAAAAAGGTAAAAGAGAAATGGGTGAAACAAGGTGACCTAAATACAGAGTACTTTCATGCTGTAATTCGACAAAAGCAGAAAAGAAAGAGAGTCCTCTCCTATACGAATGACAGTGGAAATACAGTGGAGGAATGGTCTGAAGTTGAAGAGCATTTTCTAGGGTTTTTTAAAAATTTGTTGGGGAAAAGTGAGAAAAGATGTCATGTAAGGCGGGAGGTTTGTGAGAAAGGTAGCATGTTGTCTACAGATCAGCAACTGGAACTTATCAAGGAGGTCACTGAAACATAGATTCAAGAAGCCATGTTAGCCATAGATGATGTTAAAAGCCCGGACCTGATGGCTTTAATAGTGGTTTTTATAAGAAGACCTGGGATGTAGTGGGTGAAACTACTTGTGCAGCCATCAAGGAGTTCTTCCGAACAAGAAAGATTCTCAAGCAGTTGAATGACGCGGTGATAGCACTGATTCAAAAAGTTGAGACACCACTTAATGCGGCAGTATCGTCCTATATCTTGCTGTAATACACTATATAAGTGTATTACCAAGATTATAAGTAACAGGTTGTCTAAGGTGTTGCCTCTACTTGTTGAGCAGAATCAGGGAGCATTCATTAAAGAGAGACTAATCATCCACAATATTCTGTTGACACAAGAAATGGTGCAGCTGTACAGCAAGGAAAAACGGTTCCCCTAGATGCATGCTCAAGGTGGATCTCCAGAAAGCATACGACTCCATTGAATGGACTTTTGTAGATGAGGTACTCGCAGCGTACAAATTTCCTGGTAAATTTCTCATTTGGCTTAAAGAATGTATGTCTACTAGCAGCTTTTCTTTGTGTATGAATGCGGGTTTGGTTGGATACTTTGAAGGGAAACGGGGTTTGCATCAGGGGGATCCTGTCTCCCCTTTGATATTTGTTCTATATATGGAGTACCTGAGTAGACTCTTTAAGTATGAAGTTGATCAGAGGGGTTTGCACTACCATCCAAAATGTAAGAGACTTGGGATTACAAATCTCAGATTTGCTGATGATTTGATTATATTGTATAGAGCTGATGTGATGACAGTTAAGAAGGTTAAAAAAGTTTTGGATGAATTTACTGCAACCACAGGACTTAAGGCAAATCTTAAAAAGTCTCATGTCTACTGTGGGGGTATAAAGGAGGAAGTAAAACAGGAAATTCAGGGGATAACTAGTTTTAGTAGAGGGCCATTCCCAATGCGATATCTAGGTGTCCCTATCTCCTCTAAGAAATGGATTGCTGTTGACTGTCATACGTTGGTAGAAAAAATGACTACGAGAGTGAAATGTTGGACAACTCGGCATTTATCATACGTCTGAAGAGCTGTATTAGTAAATTCTGTATTGCTGACCCTTCACACCTATTGGGCATCAATCTTTATGCTGCCGAAAAGTATTATAACTCAGGTGGTTAGAGTCTGTAGAGATTTCCTCTGGGGGCACAAGGCATCTGGAAGATCATACGCACTTGTAGCTTGGGATGATGTATGTAGATCCAAGAAAAGGGGAGGTCTGAATTTTAAGGAACCTGAAACGTGGAATAAAGCTACACTAGGGAAGCAAATATGGGATTTCGCTATCAAAAAAGATAATTTGTGGGTGAAATGGTGCCACGAATATTATCTGAAAGGACAAGATCTCTTGGATAATACTTCGCCACAAGGTGCATGTTGGTATTGGTGAAAGCTGATGAAAATTAAAGAGCAAATTAAGGTTGGCATGCTACAAGGAAAGTGGTCTGTGATGAAAGCTGAGAGTTACACTGTTAAAGCTGGTTACAATTGGTTCAGGGGGGAAGGGCAGAAAATGAAGGAATCAGCTTGCATCTGGAACAAGTACAATGTTCCTAAACACAGTTTTATACTGTGGTTAACACTGAAGGGGAGATTACTCACTTCTGACAGATTGCTTAAATTGAAGGTCATTGATCAGCCTTTGTTGTGTGGGATTTGTCAAGCAGAAGCAAAAACGTTAGAGCATTTGTTCTTTCAGTGTCCGTTTTCAAGTTTACATATGCAGCAACTGAAAATTTGGTTGCAATGTTCTTCTGTGCCAAAAAGCATAAGTGTTTGCAAGAAAAAATTGCAGAATATTTGGAAGCAGTCTAAATGTAAACAAAGGGTGTTGCATGGTGTGTTTGCTGCTGTGGTTTATCATACCTGGAGGATTCAGAATGAAGTACAGCATGGAGGGAAGAAGCTGGAAGTAGACAGGGTAGTTGAAGGAATCAAATTAGAAATGAAATGGCGGATTTCTGCATGTTGCAGAAAGTTTAGGCAGAGTGAAAGATTGTTTTTTAGACAGAATAGGTTTTACATTTTGAGATAGAGTTGTGTGAATATTTCTCTGAAATGTAATAGCAGGAAGTTGTAAATTTTCAGGTTGTCGAAAAGTTAATACAAATTAACCTTTCACAAAAAAAAAAAAAAAAAAACAACAAAGTAGTACTTCCTCCATTATTTTTTATATGTCGTTTTAGGTTTTAATAGATTTTTTTAAAATATATATCATTCTGTACACATTTATCACTTTTTAGTAACATTACCTTTACATTGGCAATGCAACACTGTAACCTTTCACAAAAAAAAAAAAAAACAACAAAGTAGTACTTCCTCCATTATTTTTTATATGTCGTTTTAGGTTTTAATAGATTTTTTTAAAATATATATCATTCTGTACACATTTATCACTTTTTAGTAACATTACCTTTACATTGGCAATGCAACACTGTTTAAAATTATTTTTTTTTTTTATGTTTAGGATGAGTTGTATAAAAAATATAAATTAGAGTAGGGTTGTATTTTAACTACATTAACTAATAATTTGCGAGAAATGGTGTTTCATTATAAACCAATAGACACTTTCTTGTCAAGGTTTATGATAATGACTTCGTTTTCATTGCAATTCCACACCTGAGAATTTGGGATGTTTATTGGGATTTTTCTTGGAAAATCCTTTCTTTTATTTTCTTTTTTCTTTTCATATTTTTTTTGAAGTTCATGAAATACATTGACATATATTTTACTAGGTTCAGAAGACATAATGGAACCGAAAGAAAGGGCAAATGTCAAGCCTGCAGCGAAGCTCCTTTGTGGTTGCACTATAATTGTAACAACAAATTTCAATGAAATTTTTCCGTCACATTATGTTGGTCGAATATATAAATCATATCTCAACTTTCGTTCTCTATCATGGCAATACCAGTCTGTAATGCCTTTGTTAAAGAATAGGAACATATGAACTATGAAATCATCTTCGCAAAGAGTAGTGAAACTTTATTTTAGCTCCCTCTGGTCTTTTAAGAACTTCACAGTCAAGTGAACTCCCTATCAATCAACCTGATGCTGCCGGCGCTTCATCACTCAAAGGTCATGTTTTCAGCCTCCTTCCTCAAGGAATCAAACAGGACTGTTGACAGATAACGTTCCCCAGCACTAGGAAAAACTACCTGGGAATTCATGGGAAAAAAACCAAAAAAGAAAAACAAGACAAATGATATATTAGTCTAGTTTATCCATGCACAAAATAGATGTAATATTAGCCCGAAACTAATGTACTCACATTTTATAACTACTTAAAAGGACAAAAAAACAAAACCAGAATGCTAAAACAACCTACCAGCAGCTAAATGATATGGTACTGAAATATAATATGAGGCCCATCAATCATCTGAAAAACCTAATATATGAGAGTGGGGCAAGCACACCTCAACTCATACAATGAACCCCAAAAATGAGCAAATAACTTCAGGCTCCAGAAAGCAAGCAGACTTCAATGTACTAGAAACAGATCTAGAGCATCTTTATAGGTTGCTATACGGAAGAAGGGGCTGAGTTGCTGAGACCATGTAATAAGATATGGGTTCTAGATGGTACTTTCCAAGAGTTGACGGCTAAGACTGACAAAGAACTCTATGGACACAAGACATCTAACAAAATGTGATTGGGGATCCAGAAAATTGACCAATCATGTCTTATGAAACTAAGCATCAAGAAGAAATGTATTCCAAAATTCAAACTTGTATTGAACAACTTGAGAATACATGGAGAAGATTTGTAAGGTTCTCTGATGTATTAGTCCCAATGAGTAAGATTTATTTATCACTTTCATAATCCTGTTGCATTATCTTCCAATGCTGACTCTTTACAAGTAGAGAGGCAGCGTTATCGAAATTGGATTGGTAATAAAGGGGGATTCTTAACTTGGAACTGCTTCCTGGTATATGTCAGTGAAGAAACAAGAAAGGAAGATTGGCCTTCGGCTGAAAACTGTAAACTAATATTGTATAATTACATCAAACAACACTCCAACCCAGACTCTACATATTTTGGAGATTGTGTAAAACAAAATTGCAGGTTTTCCATCTCAGAGTGCAACTTTTTTGGAGCGTTTAAAACTCTAGTAAAAAATTTACCAAACAGTAAGCATGTTTGAAAAGTTTTCACTTACTACAATGAGTTTTCCAGCATATTCAGCCCTGCTTCCCAGCTTAATTGCAGCAGCTGCAGCAGCCCCTGAGGAAATTCCCACCTGCAGTTCCAGGATGTATCATATATTTATACAAAGCACAAAAAGAGTCAGTAATAATTGGCGAGAAAAGAATAATAGATTGCCTCTGGAACTGGAAGTTCAACTTACAAGCAAACCTTCCTTCAGCGCAAGAAGTTTTGTCATTTCAATAGCTTCATCACTGGATATCTGAAGGGGTTCACAGAAATAAAATTTCAGGATTTGAAAAGAAAGCTTCAACAAACAGAAAAAGAAAATTAGGAACAACTGGATGAATCTATTTATAGGATAGCACCAAGCACCAAATAAAAACAGAGATTTGATGCAGAAAAGCATGGTTTGAATTTCTTGAAAAAAAAAAAAGAAAAGAAGAAGGCGGACATCTCTTCTACCAAATCATCCAAGATAATTCGAGCTTTGCGAGGATTATGGACCAGAAATGAAGAAATATCAGCAATCTAAGAAAATACGAATCTGTCAAAACACTCACATGCTCAGATTAGCTAGAAGAAATGAACATTGTTTTAAGTGAATGTACAACAACCAAATGAACAAAATGTAAACAATACTCTTTAATACATGAACAAAATGCATAAAGGATCTGATTAGAATTGAATCATAGTAATTATGGAAGTCTTAATTCGTGAAAAATCTTTCACGACTCTGTATGATTCAAAAGCTACCAAAACAAGACAGCATATTGAATAATTTGAACAGAGAAATAGTTTTGAGTAGGAAAGATGAGCATAAAATAAAAGTAATCCTCGTTCCACCACTGTAACAGGTATAAAAGGAAACAGAAAAGAAAACTAACAAGATAGTTCTGTACAAGTATACCAAGTCACACTAATCCAGCGAATTCTGAATAAAAAAGTCTGACCAATGTAGCTCAACTTGCATCCGTTCTAAAGAAGCTAAAGTTTTATACCCAATACTTAGTATAGCAGCAGCATTCTTGGGAGTAAAAACCGAAAATTCTCTTCGGCTGAATTACTTATTTCATATGCTGGTCCTAATTTTCACTTTTTCAAAATCTTTCAAGTGGCAAACAGTTCCTATCTTGATACTTTTAGGCAAGAAAACTTTATATAAAGCTAGGCTAGAGGTAAACTTGATATAAGAGTTCAATTTATCTTAATCAGGCAATACTTGGCATGGCAGAGTTGAACTCGGGAGTCCAGAAAGAAAATTTGTCCCAGGGCTGGTTGTAACGTTCAGCCTCTAATCCCAGATATAATTTTATAATCTCCATTATAGCTGATATCTTACATGAGATAACAAGTTCAATCTCGTGAAATTCAGATATCAGTGTGTCTAGATCCTAGCAAATTGACAAAATCACGTAGAAACTAGTGACTGTCACATTGATTTCATATTTCGTAAGAAGCTAAAGTAGAATTTACTTAAAAGAATGTAGATATTAAATCAAGTCTGTCTCTTTTTTCTACACAGGGAAAAGCAGAACAAAAAAGTGTACACGAAAAAGCTGGTAAACTCTCACTTGAATAACTTCATCAAGGATACTAATGTCCAAGACAGGAGGGATGAAGCCAGCACCAATTCCTTGGATTTTATGTGAACCTTTAACATTAACGGGACAACAATGAAGTAAGATGCTTACACCATTTCAAAATCACAAAAAGGGCGACAAAAATAACTAAGTATTTACATAATCTTTATTTTATGTTTCAATAAACCATTCCATTGAGCATCAGTTTTCCATTCAAAGTTCTCTATGTCTTCCCTTTCTCCTCTTAACTTGAGTTAATGATCAACATATTCTATAGTGAGCCATCTGAAAGTGTCTTCACGTCAAAACTGAGTATTATTTGCACTCCCAACAAACAATGAATGTTTCTTTCTCTCAAAAATGTAGCTGCTTTTAAGGAAAAATCATGCTACAGAAAACAAAAGGGAGACACGGAGATGGGAATGATATTGACATTTATGAACAAAATGCAAGAAAAACGAAAAGAAACTCCATTTAAGGAAAATGCAATCACCTGGTTTTCCTCCACTCAAAACTGCACTCTCAGCAGGTTCAATACCATACACCTGTCACCAAGTAAGCATTCAAAAAAAATTAAATTGCAGAAAAAGAAACCCGAAAAGGGATGAAAGATGAAGATGATGGAAAGGGAATCTAACTTTAATCATTGGATTTTTCTCCTTTAGAAACCTTCCTGCGCCAGTGACTGTACCTCCAGTTCCAATTCCTGCCACAATGGCGTCTACTTTTCCTTCTGTGCTGTCCCAAATCTCTGGTCCAGTGGTTTCATAATGTATCTGCAGATTGACACATATAAGTGACCTGTTTCTAACAATAAACACTTCAATTATAGCAAAGGGTACCTTTGGATTAGCTGGATTCTCAAATTGTTTGAGAAAATAGCAATTGGGTGTTGCCTCCATTAGTTCATTGGCTTTCTGGAGAACACCTTCTAGACCTTTAGCGCTATCAGTGAGGTGCAATTCAGCTCCAAAAGCAAGGAGAATGGTCCTCCTCTCGAGGCTATATGTATGTGGCATAACTATTATAAGTTTGTAGCCCCTAGATGCCGCAATGAATGCAAGACCAATGCCCGTGTTACCACTGGTTACTTCAAGAAGAACCGTCTTCCACCACCATTATTTGCCATAATCAAAACCAGGAGCTATTTAGATAAAAGTATTCGATATAAGAACTCGCATGTCTATCTATAATTTTTCTACTTACTTACTGTCAATGAAAAAAACAACGAAATTAGAGGGCCATTTATGTATTTCTCAATAAAAACTTCACTATTGGAAATATGTAGATAGCAGAAAGGTTCCAGATGGATTGGGATGCATGTTTTGGATACATACACCGTTAACAAAAATGAAAGAGAGAATACAAAGAAGATAACTAACCTTCCCAGGGGTTATAAGGCCCTTATCTTCTGCATCTTTTATCATACTATATGCAATCCTACATTTTGATAAATAGCTACATCATGCTATTGGTCTATTCTCAGCCTATATCTGAGTAACGTGGGATGTAGGGTCCAAACATTGAGACAACAAACAAAGAAAAGTGGCGTTATTTGATCAGATAGAATATCTCAAGTGTTACCTGTCTTTTACACTTGAGCATGGCTCCATTATCTCCAATTTCGCAGCAATGCGGCCAACACAACCATCCACAACATTGTTCAGATAGACCATCGGCGTGTTTCCTATCAACTGAAATTGTAGGCCAAAGAAACAAAAGATTAGAATAACAGATGTCTTCTTATTCTGCTTGAAAGTGTGTAGTGAAGAGTTCAGTGGAAAATTACTTCTGTGACGTCATTGGCGATACCACACTTCTCTTCCATTAGTATTGCTAAATAACTGCAGAGACAAAAAAGAAAGGAATATTGATTAACTGAACTAGTAAACTTATGGGACAATTATAACTGAATGATGAAAAGACGAACAAGATAAATACATAGAACATATTGCAGGCAGATATGAGGGGCATGCAATTAATGGACCGAACTACAGTTTTTACAGCAAATTGGATGATACAACTTCATATTATGCTATACATGCTGAAGGAAGCTACTCAACTACGAGAGAAGGAGGAGAAGGAACCACAAGACTAAAGGGATCCATAAATTTTAGTACACTTAATATCTTAGTAGAGCAGTCATGAGAATGGATCACTGCGAATCTTCTGCATTGAACTGAGGATGTTCATAAGAACAAACACCAATACAAGTGTTGACTTCCAAGAGTATTTAAGTTAGGTCAACAAAAATACAGATTTCAAGAGAGAAAAGAAAAGGGGAAAAAAAAAAAAAAAAACCCTGCGGATAAAGAAAGGTAGAAAGATCAGGAACTCAACAAACAATTATAACCCCTTTGGGGAGATCCGATAATATTGGAACAAACAATTATATAAGCATCTAAATTTTAAGTAGTCATTAATCTCATGGAGTTAGCCATCAACTAAATAAAAGAAAGCCAATTCTATGAGTTCCTTAGAGGCTTCCATGTTGAAAATTTTTCTCATCTACAGTCATAAACAGACACACCTGGTATGACTCAACTTTCTGACAGAGTCCAAAGAGCAACCTTATCTGTTTTTTATATGAAATTCTCCTAAAAAAAAAATAAATAAATAAAATAAAATAAAAAAACAGACCTTACCCTCTTTTCAGAAAGATCAAAACAAAATACCAACATAACAGATAATTGAAACGTCTTCAAGCAAGATATTTGCTCCCTGATTAAGATTAAACATACCCACAATAGTTGATACGGCACCACAATCACATACATTTTTACCGATTAAGTTAAACAGCGATACCAGCCTTTTTAATCCGCCAAATCAAAAGTAAATTACATAATTAGTTATTGAACAGTAGAAGAAAGATAACGTCTTACTTCAGTAGAAGCAAATACTCCGGAAATTTAGTACAAGGCTTATCGAAAACATTACTTCCTTCTAACTAATAGAGAATACAGACTTAAAAGGGCTTTCAAGAACAATCTTTGCTTCCAGCATTCAAACATATCGCAAATTTCTAAGTATTTATCTGCTATGAACCTATGAACACTGATAAGGCAGAAATCCTTTTAGCTAAGAATACAACATCAGAACATAACATTTCCAAAACACAAGCTTTTAATATCAAAATTTCAAAAAATTTCAGTTGTACCCAGAGGAAGAAAAGCTGAAATATTCACAACCCAGATCTTCAAAATCAACTGCGGACAGAATGACAGAATCATACCTTAAGGCCGGCTGCTCTTTTGAGTTTTGAGTACAGTCCTAAGTTCCCAGTGCGGCAAAACTTGGTGACCCCTTTTAGTTTATAATACATTCCAATCCGAATACGTGAGCGGTTACGAAGAAATGTACAAATTTGACTGCATCTGTGCATACGCACAAAAACAGCAGGAGTAAAATATTGTTGAGAGTTATGTGGCAAGAATTATGAATTCCACGTCAGAGACATGATTACATGTATATTAGTTAATAAGCTAGGTGGATTTAGAATCCATTAATTTGAGATTTTCAGTTCAGATGAATCTTATCTTATTTATCGGGATTATGTCGGATTTTCTTTTTCAGATAAATTCTCAATAAATAGTAGTATACATTTCCCGGAACCGGAAGAATTGTAGAAAATCAACTCTTTGACCTTTATCAGGTTCTTTTCTCCGTACTGCTTTAGTATAAGGCAAGAAGAAAAAAACAAACCGTTAATCTGAACAAAAAGTCAAAAGAGAAGTCTTTTTGAAATTACAACTTGTGGGTTGTGTTGTGGCTGTAAAGCAAATTGAAAATAAAAAAGAATTCTTTGGTTGCTTGTCCACGGAAAGGAAATATGCGGATAAAAAGCATTGGATCATTTCTCATACTCCTCTCCTCCTCAGTCCTCACAATCTCTGTTCTTTCCCTTGCTAACAACAGCACACTAAGACAGAATGACTGATTAAATGACAGTTTTGAAGAAAATGCCTTAACACTCATACTTAATCACGTGTACGATAAATATTCATACTCTTCTCATAAAATATTCACGAGTAATACTCATACTTTTCATATCATGTGAATCCAAGTTTCACAAATTAGAGAAATTTAAATAAATTAATTTTGTGTACAATACATATTCATACTCTTTTCATAAAATATTCATGAATAACTGTCGTACTTTTCATATTATTTGTATCCAAATTTTACAATATCTTCTTGATAATTGGAAGATTAATGCAAATAAGAAATCTAAAGACCATATTTATACCCATATAAAACAATGTTCACGAGTATTATGCAAATTTTCGTACGAATAAAAGAAAAATATTAATAAAATATTTAGAAATTCTTATATTCATAGTTCATACTCATTCCACAAAATATTCAATTAGAATGATATTTTTCATGACATATACATATATATATACATCAAAATTTCATATTTTTTATTAAATTTAAATTGTTATTAATTTTAAAACTACGTTAGTAATCTTACTATATATATATTAAGGGAATTTTTCTCACAAGACACATGTCGCACTATTAGATCACTAATAATTTCCAAAAACATGTGTCCACTTTTTATTCATTCATAAACTTTAGTAGTCTATGTGTCAGCATTTTATTGGCTTATTACTTTTTACTAATCTTTAACTACACCTCATGACTGTAATCTTGCATAGTAAAACATTTATTATATTTTTACACAATATCATTTATTTTACCTTTTCACCGATAATCCGCAATTTTATCATTCAAATAAAATTTGAAATAACTCCGGCCAGCTAACCTTAGGTGATGGCAGATTTTAGCACGCGATGTTAATGTAATCATCAGAAATAGTTGCCGTCGACATCATCATTTGGATATACACAACCTAAATCTACAAGAAAATAATTATCTCTGTTGATTGTTTATTTTAAATGGACTATACACCTGCTTCGCCGGAATCATTGGAACACGATATCCAATTTATCACGGACGAGATCACCGTTGATTAGAAACTCCATTGAAGGAAATAGTTGTCGGACATGGTGACCGGCTGACAATGATCAATTCATGCGTTCAATTGCTGGTTGTATTCTTCTTTACTAGAGACTTCCCACATCCCTTCCTACCATTTTGCTAAATTATGTGTGTATTTCTCAAGAACCTAAATGATTATGCATCATTTCTTCAAACATTCATCTTACCATGAACGAATTGCGTCCACCATGCATAATTTTAGGAATTTTCAAATTTCAGAACTGGATAATATGGAACAAATTTAATTCAAATTTCATTTAGAAGATTTGTCCGGATTTTATTTTAGTAATATATATTTGGGGAATATATATTCGTGTAATTATACCCATAATTATCGTATGAAACTACCTTGTTAATTAATTGACAGAAATTCCGTAATTGATCTTCTTTTTAAATTTGAAGTATTTGAAGTATTACTTATCATATAGAATAGATAATAAGATATTAAATTAGACTTATAATTACCGTATGAAACTACATTCATCTTAATAATTAAATAACTGTCGAATACAATCATAATTCAGCTCTTTTTTCTCCGAATACAATATAAATACACCCCTAATCTTATTTTGTAACCCAATGGGATATTATCTGATTTCACACAATCTCCCGAAAATAGGCTTTAAATGAAGCATATGAATATCGAAAATCCTTATTTTGTTTTTATTAGACCTTCTACACTTTTTAATTCTCTTTGATATTGTAAAACCAATTCTGTCGAACTGGATAGTAAGAAAGGGACATGGAAATTAGTCTTATTGTTCTCACTTCAGGGTTTGTCTTTGGCCTGGTAAGTTTTATAATATTAAATTCTTTAATTCTGCATCATGTATTATCAGAATATTAGTATTCATATTAGATCGTTAATTGACATTTGTTGTTATAATTGTTCCTTTTTTTTGTAGAAAATTCCAGTGCCTAATGTTTTATCTGAAGGCCATAATCCCGGCGACGATATAACTCTAATGAGTAACGGCAGGGAGTTTAAAGTGTCATGCAATTACCTTGGTCAGACGAAATCAATTTATTTGTTTTAAAAAAACTGGATGTACTTTGTTACGGAAAATAGTTTGGTTGTCGACGGTACTCTTTTCTTCACGGTAAAAGAAATTGGTATTTTGGAAGTACGCGTCCTGACCAAGGATCGAACACCGGCGGATAATTTATATCCTCCCATTATATGGGACAAATTCAAATATATCAAAAACTATACGGTACAATTTTCTCGATCACATGTTATTTTTTAATGATAATTTTAATTTGATGTATATGTAACTACGATTCTTCCAGTGTATACCAGATGGAGTAAGTCAGATTTCGTTTCCAGAACATGCGGAAAATGGCACAAGATTGGCATACTGCAATGTCAATTATGGGGCGTATAAATTTGTTGTTGCAATGGTATACTCAGAAACAAACCCATCTTAACTAATCCTTGCAGGTGAATCTTGGAGAAAATTCATGTTTGATCATGTTGATTTGTTGTCCGAAGCTGAATCTGTATTATTAATTCATGTTGGTAGTGATAACTTGACACTACAATTTTTCAAAGAAAACGGAGTTCAGATCAGAGCTCCTTTGCTGGTATTAGGTCCATTTGGTTTTACCATACCAATCAGTTTGAATCACTGCGTCCATAAAGCAATCGTAAGCTACAAATGTCTTATTACAAATATTGAAAATTATTCCATGATATTTTTATTTCCAATTTTTTCGTTTTCCATTGTAATTTACTATATTAATTTCAGACTATACCTGCAAGTTTTTGGAGACAGCATAAACGCGTCACTACGAAGGGATTTGCTACCGTCCAAATATATGGTGGAAATTACTCCATGAACATTTTGAAGTCTTATGATGCAAGCTACACAGGAAAAAAACTTCAAAAATTAAAGCTAGGAGGGAATTGGAGTAAACTCCTTCATGATAATACGATTGCACCTGGAAATGATTGTCAATTTGTTTTGGACATTGAAAGTGTCAAACCGAAGAAAAAAGACATCGCTTTTATTTTGATCGTTTGATCTATAGTTCGCTAATTGTGTAATTTTCAATTCTTATGGTTTATTTTATTTGTTACTTAAATAAAACATTTTTTAAATTGCTAATGTAGACGTCGCCATTTTTTTGTAGCTTACTTTAAATTTAAAATAAAACATTTTTTTTTATAAGCTACCTTGATCAGGATAAGTCATAATTTAGATGTACTAATAGAAAAGTTGGAATATATAATGAAGATCTCGATTTTGGGAAAAATTTGTGCTGTTATTGATGGATATCAATAATTGAATAATGCATTATAATATCCTCCTCTCAAGAAATATATTTCGGTAATATCTTCATCTTCTCAGTTACTTATTTGAATTTATTTTGTACAAAATTCAAGGAAAAAGGGTTAACAAAAGTCATCATTATTTCGATTATCCAGTGATTTCAATCTCTTTAAACAATTTATTGATAAATTAACTAACTAGCTTTAAGTCTTTGATCAATTAACCAAGCATTAACCTTATTGTGATCTGTCTATTAAGAAATTGCAGGAAAAAAACTTTTGTGACAGCTCGCTGTTCAAAACAGCTCGTTGTTTACCAACGTATTGGTAAAATGTATGTGACAGCTTGCTATTTAAAATAGCTACCTGTCTGTGTTAATTTTGTTTTTTTCCTTTCGATTTTTTCCAAGGATTTTGCAAGTTTTCATTATTTGCCCTTATATTATCGTCATGTCATTAATATTTAATTTTTTCAATATACATTTTAAAGCTATCATAAAGCATCATCGTTGTATCTTTACTGTTTGTGATCTTTCTGTAACATTTATTATTATGTAATATTAAAATTATATCTTTTCCATGTAAAGTTTCCTGGTATCGGAAATAGTTATCCTTCCACAAAATTGGGATTAATTCTCCCATCCGTTTTTGTATACTGATGTGGATAGTTTCTGATACTTTCAATATGACTTTCAAATTTCATATTTATCAAATCATTGTTATCATATCAATCTTCCACAATGTCACGAAATCAAAAGTAAAAATCACATCGTTAATTTTTAATCACAGTTTAACTTCATTCATTAATTTTTCATGCATTACGCACTAATTTATACTTCAAAATTTGTTTAACTTGAATCATTCATGTAATCTACATACGTTACGGGATCATTAGTATTTTTAAAATTGTTTTATTCCTTTAAATTCTGGATACATATTTCACGTATATCTGTTCTTAATATGTCTATATATACCTTATGTAAATTTCGATATGTCTACCACAGAAACTACCATCCGCATGTTATTTATTTATTTATTAATATTAACTATATTACTGATCATATAGAATAGATAATAAGATATTAAATTAGACTTATAATTACTGCATGAAACTACCTTCATTTTAATTAAATAATGAAATAATTGCTGAAATTGCGTAATTGATATACAATTCAAGTTTGAAGTTTTTCAAATATAGTATGAAATTACCTTCTGAATGTAGTCCAAATTTACATTTATGATTCACTTAGATAACTATCGTTCTATTTATCGTTTTCATTAGAGATCATATAGGATAGATAAGATACTAACTCAGAATCAAATTTTGATTCCGTGTAATTAACTAATTGATATACTCCCATATTTAAACTGAATTTAAATTTAGTTTCGCGCCTCAAAACCTTATAAACTCTAACGCGTCCTTTACGCTAAATCTCCTTCTGTATAAATCGTACGCTTAGTTTCCCCAACACCTCCTCACCTATTCATGTTAATACACACTCTTATAGCAGATCAATAAAATTGATTCTTTTCTTCTCCCTCTTTTGTTCTCTTACAATGGCTCAGGCTAGGAGGATAAATTCTGTCAAAAAATTGAACGGAAGTATCCAATGTGGATGGCTGATTAACGTCAAGTTGTGCAATTTGTGGGATCGCCATCATTTTAAAAATTGGGACAGAGTGGAGAGCCGTGAAATGCTTCTTATGGATTCAAATGTAAGCTCCTATACTTTTTTGTCACCGTTAATTAATATTGAGATACATACATGTTTTTGTTCGATAAATCAAAATTAATAGATTTTTTTCGTAACTTTTTTCTTAACTCAGGGTGACAGAATTGTTGCCGGGGTCCATCATGACCACTTTCATCGTTTCAACGAAAAGCTCATTGAAGGAACTTCTTTACTGATCTCTAACTTCGGATGTGCAAAAAACGGAGAGAGATTCAAGCAGTGCAAACATGTTTTCCGGATAAAATTTGATGAGCGTACGACAATCGAACCTGGCCCGTATGTTGACACTACCATCTTTGGAGGAATCCATGGATTTGATTTTGTCAGTTTCGACTATATCAATGCCACAAAAGATTTATCCAAATTAGTAGGTATGCATTTTTTTGTATTATTAAATAAATGATGAAGTTTTTTTCCATTAATGTATCAAAGTGATAAAACATATGTTGATTTAATCAGTTTTGTTTATTGGTTGTTTATTTTTAAAGATGTAATAGGGCAGATCAAAACAACGAGTGGTCTGACAATGAAAATGGCAAGAGGTCGAAATCAACATCATATGGAATTGCACATTATGAATGAAAGGTAAGGATAATTTACATTACTGATTTTTCCAGGTTCTTTATCAATTTCAACTCACACTATAATTGGTTACGTTAAATGTTGCAGTGATGACATTCTGAAGTGCACCCTATGGGGTGATCATGCATTAAAGGTCCAAAATCATATTGATGCAACTGGATCAATCCGAGCCATTGTAATCATAAGCAATGCAATGATTAATGCATATGAGGGTATTTACCTAATTAGACATTGTTTTGCGTTTATTATTGTATTATTTTTTTCCCATAAAAATTCAAACAAATATTTTTTTTTTTACAACAGATACTAGAAGAATTCAGAATTCCTTATGGAGTACTAATGTTTATCTAAATGAAGAGTTGCTAGAAATTGTTGACTTCAGGCAAAGTTACACTGTCATCTTACAACGTAATATTTTTCCTGCATATCTCAAAGTTTATTAACAAATCTATTTATATGTATGTATTGTTTGTGAACAGAATCACTTGTACTGCTGGATTTGATGAAAATGCGAAGATTGATGTGCTTCAGCCTCAGCCAAAATCAGGAACAATTGATGATGTCATTACATGGCATAAAATCACCATTGAAGAGTTGTCGACTATTACTACAGTAAGTGCGGATTTAATTATAATACTTTTTTGTTACACACAGGTTTATTTTGTATAAATCCTCTTTTTTTTTTTTAGCCAAGGTTAAACTATGCACTTATTGCAACTATTGAGGCTCTTGATCCGGATTTTGGATGGTATTATATTGGTTGCCGTAAATGTCACAAATCTGTAAAGGAAGAGGCTGTTCCAATTGCAGTGGTAAAAATTGAAGGCAAAACATCGTCTAAGAAGTCGAGGTCACAAATTCCTTCATAGACGGTGTTTCGTTGTGAGACCGAAGGCTGTCCTAAACCAATGACCACAGCAAGTCCGAGGTACATTCAATTTTAAAAATGAATATTTAAAAATTTATATTAATTTTGTATTACGAGAATACCCATATTTATTGACAACTCATAATTTTTTTATATTAAAATGTTTCTTAGATGCAAAATGAGAATTGATGTTGAAGATGGAACACCGGGATCTTGTACTTTTGTGATGTTTGATGATTGTATTCGTCATCTAATGAATAAATCATGCGAACAAATCAAAGAAACTATTCCACCGATTTGTATTGATAAACTCAGAATTATTTAAATTTGCTATGTTAAGAATTTCACTATTTTTGTTTTCAATTATTTTTCTATTATTGCCTTATTTAGGGTATCCCCAACAATCAAATACCGGAGGAACTTTACCAACTTGTGGGGAAGAGGCTCATATTCAAATTTGAGGCGACTGATTATGTCATACAAACGGGGGTCGACGGTTTACAAATGCACAAAAATTATTGAGGATCCCATACTTATTAAAAAATTTGAGAATGTTGTTTCTCCAGTAGAGGTTTGCCCTAAATTTGCTGATGTATATATTCCATATAAAACATGTATTTACTATTTTTACTATATTTCAGTTAGTTAATTTTTTAATGGTATTTTTTAAAACTTAGATTGAAGATGATAACAGTATCACCAATCTGGATACATCTGATGTGGCTATTTTGCAGTCTGTTTCCTCAAACATCCCCAAGGTTTGTCATATTATGTAATTTCGGATATCTCAATTATTTTATAATACGTGTGTTGTTTGACTTGCATTAATCCAATAAACAGGTGACTGGTTTAAGCTCTATTGGAACTGAATATGATCAAGACGATGAACCTATCACTCCTGTTAGTTCTATTCAAAAGTGGAAAGTTGTTGAGATTGACATTGACGATGAAGAACATCAGGCTTCAACGAATAAAAAGCATGTCTAATCTGTTGATTTCAATGCTTTTATTCACTTCATTCGGGATAATTCTTACAGCTTTTACATAAACAAATTATTATCTTTTTCTTTGATGGTTTTTATTTCGTACTTTTTTTGTTCCGTCTTTCGGTACGGATTATTTTTCGTGTAATAAAATATTTATCCATTCTCTCTATACATATGTTAAACATTACAATTTATTCAATTCAATCGAATATTTAAATATTAATTGTAATATAATATTACAATTGTTATAATAGTCTTCTCAATTATTTCAAAATAAATTAAAGCTAAACACAATCAAATCATCCTATATATGTCAGAAATAAAATTTTTTATTGTCATCATTATAAGCATGTAAGGATTTCATATATTCTTCGTTTTCATATTAGTAATATTCACGTACTGTCACATAATGTATAAAAATATTACAATGATTAATAGGTCATCATAATAGCAGAATCAAATCAAAACGAAATCAAAAAATTGTTGATTGTGCATAATTTAGATTGACTTATAATTCCTTTGTAAACAGCCAAAAAATCAGGTACTTACTAAAATAGTTGAAAAACAATTATAATCTTACTAAAAGTATTTTTTATCATGCTAAACAAGTAAATAATAAGAAGTAACTCTATATTACTTCTAATTATCACACACATGTCACGTTGAGTTCTGTAATATTCACTTACTATATCTTAATTCAAACAAATGACCAAATAAAAACAAAATGCTTCTTAGAAAACAAAAAATTAATTAAAAAAAAACACATCATTACATTGACTACTTTTTTGGTAGTGTGTTTGCATTCTATTAAATTTCTGATACTGCACATCATCTACAACGCGCAAAACATCATTTTCATAATTAAATGGACTTATCAACACCATAAATTTTTTAACTGCCCAACAATAAATCCATCCACTTATTTCCTCCGAACTATATATATATATATATATATATATATATCAATAATTCTCCCTACTCCATTCTCACTTTCTTCCAGATTTCAAACAAAGCTGTTTAGATCTTTCTTTCTTTTCTCTCTTTCTTTTCACCTCCATTCTGCCTGTCATAATCCCTTGAATGCGTTTTGAAGAAAAATAACCAAGGGGAGTAATCTGTGTTCTTTCTCAAGATCAGGTAATATAAACTTTGATTTTTTTCTTTCTTTGCTTTTTTTTGGCATCTACTTTATTGATCTTCCTTCCAAATACACTATTTTGTATGTAGATTACTTCTGTACAACTATAATATACATTACTATGGATTATGTACATTAATCAGTTTATCATCTACTGTTATTTTTCAATCTTTAAATATAGAAAATATATACAATTGACACTTTTTATTCGTATAAATATAATTTTAATTATTGCTACTCTATTTTTTTTTTCATATAACAGGATCTTAATAAAAAAAAATACCGTACTACTTGGGATTCTTATACATCGTTCCAAAAGACTACGAATTGCTTGGTTTTGTAAGACATCTTACCCTTTGTTAAATTAATTTATCAGTTTGTGTATATTGTTTTTTAGTTCTTATGTCAAAATTTAAATATCCAAATTGTATTCTTTTTTTTTTTTTTGGCATTTTAGCTTCTCACATCTTGGTTGCGTGATTGCTTCAGCGGATATGTCCCAAAAAAAAATTAAACTGGTTACTCCAGTAGGTAAATTTGAAGTATTAATTTCTGAAGCTGCAAATGGTGAGATTGTTATGTTTGGGAATAAATTCTTAAAATTTGCAAATGAAGTTCAAATCGGTCCATGGTGTCGGGTTCATTTTTATTATAACGGAACTGATAACATCATATGCATGCCTTTTAGATATGATGCAACTCAATCTGTTCCATACAAGCCATACACTCCTTTTGGAGTTCAATGCATATTCAAATTGAAACCTCATACTGCTGATTACTTCACATTAAGTATTTCCATTCGTCCATCATTTTTTTACTTAAAAATTAAATTATATCTCATGAATTTAATTTGACATCTGTAGATGAGTTAGTACCAATTATGTATATATTTATTTTTTTTGTCTAGGTTGTGCCTGCTGAATTCATCAATGTACTTACAATGCCTAATACATCGGTTGTGACTGTTGAATTTGGAGAAGAAGAATATAATTTTGAATGGTTTACCAATGAGCATGATTCTGGTTTTAGTGGTGTCATGTGGCTTATTTTTTTAATTGGTCATCATTTCCCTTTGAAGAATACATTCCTGCTTGCCTATAAGCACGAAACCACGTTTGTGTTGGATGTTTTTGATGAAAATAACTTTGATGTCCATGCTCCTGGTCGTCCATGAAATTCTGCCTCAGCTTCTTAATAGAGTAAGTACTTAAATTAATCTTTTTATTTATTTTGTTATTTCTTTATTTATTTCAACATAAACTCACTTAATATATTTCTTAATTCCATAATTGTCTATTCTTCAGGTTCTGAAGATGAATCTTATTTCTACCCGTGGTTGGAATCTATGTAACATAGTTTTTAGTTTATGCATGTTATGCTTTTTGTATTGGGGTTAAAAACAATTATGAATTATTATGGTTGTATTTTGAGTATGATATAACTTCTAATTATGGTTCATTATATATGAAGTACATTTTGATTAGATTCTACAACCCAATCCCTTTAAATTATTTCATATTGATAAAATTTGTTCCATTTTGTTTATAATAATTTTTTTCCCGTTGTTTTATAATGATAGAGTTTGTTGCAACTTTTTCGTCATCACATCAAATTTATGCCGATGTTATCATTTGTATATAAACCAAAAATTGGGACAAAAATTCACTTCGCATATCGATCATATGAATTTTAAGTGACATTTGTTAAAGTTTTCTAAATCTGTTTAGTTTATGCAATCAATTCAAATATATAAAACAATGAAATGATAATTTTACTTTTATTTCTGTTACACAACTGCATAAATTTTCCTCAAGTGATAATAAAAGATGAAAAGAAAAAAAAATCAAAAAGCTATTGAAAACATCGAATACATTTTTTTTTAGTTCAGAACCCACTGTCTAATCCATTTAATCTCTGCAAACTAGGCCTCACACTATAACATGCAATAATCATTTCATGAATTAAATACACTTAACTACTATAAAAATTTATAACTCTCCCTAAAAATATCCATCATCATTTTTTTCTTGACTAAAATACACAAACTCCATTTACTTTATTCGTACTGTTTTTTGTTCAGAATTCTAGCTTTTATATTCATATGAATTTAGTTTGACACGAAATATATTTTACCTTTGATAAACACTGACTTAAACTTGTGATATATGTGGGAATTATTATTTTAAACAGAATCGTATATTTTTCCGGGATTATTCCAAACAACCAATTTATGCCTTATTATCTTTTGTATATAAACCAAAAATTTGGACAAAAATTCACTTCGCATATCGATCATACGAATTTGAAGTGACAGTTGTTAAAGTTTTCTAAATCTGTTTAGTTTATGCAATCAATTCAAATATATAAAATAATGAAATGAAAATATTAGTTTTACTTCTGTTACGCAACTGCATATATAATCCTGTGTGTATTTTGTTTTTTTCCTTTCGATTTTTTCCAAGGATTGTGCAAGTTTTCATTATTTGCCCCAATATTTTTTGTTTAGTTTTTCAATTGTGTTTTTATTTTGATTATTAAATTATATAATTGAATTTCAGACATTTTAATCTTTTATTTTCCATAAATTTTATTTTTTTGTATATGTAGAACTGCCTCTGCCTCTGTTGAAAAATCAAAATATTCACTGTTCGAAGTGGATTCCAAATTCATCAGAACTTAGCTATGTTTCGAGTGTCAAACCTGTCAGCGGTCCATTTCAAAATATAGGACCATCGCCATTTGCCAATTTACACAACTGTAACATTTTTAATTAACTTAGTATTTGCTTTGTTCTTTGATTTTTCCAATATACCTATCTATCTAAATACACTTTTGATTACATAACGTTTTTTTTTCTGACTTTAACAGATCTAACCATTAATTTTACACCAAACAATAGCAGTCAGCCTAACATATTGAAATCTTCAAAAGATTTGAGCATTGGTGGTTCCCATGATAAAAATATAGGCATGGTTTCCAGGTCTAACCAACGCATTGACTATGATTTCGGAACCTTTGTTGACTGTAAGTATATTTTTATACATTATAGTGTATTACGATAATTTAACCTTTTAAATTTTTATTATGTTTTTGTCGAACCTGAATTTGGAAAAAAATACATTTTGTAAAAATATAGTTATATGTTTATAACCACAAATTTATTTTGTAATTACATTTTTGTGGTCATAAATTTTTCATAATGTTTTTATACACAGCTCCTGTAACAAGTACAGTATGCCTTAATCCACATTACCATTTGGGGACTGAATGTAATTGTCAAGAAATATCCAAAACTAATTATGGAGCAGAAGCACGGAAAACAAGGCGCCTAAAGATGGAAAATAAAAAAAAAGTAGACCAAATACAACAAATTCCATGTTGGCAATTACAAGTTCGTGTACATCATCGCAACCAATATCTCCAGATATATCATTGTTCGACATACCAATACAAAGCGATAATCAATGCCCGTTAAATAAAGGTTATATTATACTTCATCTTTTAAAATCACTATTCATTTTTAGTTTATTTCTTTTGATAATTTCATTGTTGACTTATAAATTAATTAATTTCTTGCATTTCTAACAGCAATGACTAACATTATGACCAGTAATACTTCCAAAATGCTCGGTGCAAGTCAACATGTCCGAAGTAATATGATTGCCGGATATAAAGGAAAAGCCAAGTTAGCGTACCCAAATCATATAAATAATGGTACAAGTATATTTTTACACTTCAAAAAGATTGTTTATTTTTTTATATTTTTCTTTATATTTATTTATACATAAACATTAAATATAGATTCCGGAACATGCGGAGAAAAATATCAAACCAGGCAAAATGACTATATAGATGCAAAAGGG